TCATGATTGGATTCTTGCTTTTCTGCATCTTATGGTTATGATCATGTGATTTTTCTTCTTTAGCCTGTTAATGTGATGCAATACAGTACTTGATTTTCTAGTGCTGAACCAGCCTTGCATAGCTAGAATAAATCCCACTTCATTTAGGTGTGTGGTTTTATACATTGTTGGGTTCAATATGCTAATATGATATAATAATGCTAATATTTCATTGAGAATATTTGCATTATGTTCATGAGGGATATTGGTCTGTAGTTTTCTTCTCTTATAATGTCTTTATCTGTTTTTGGTTTTAGGGTAATGCTGGCTTCACAGAACAAGTTGGGAAGTGTGCCCTCTGCTTCTATTTTCTGGGAGATATTAAAGAGAACTGGTATCATCTTCTCCTTAATGTTAGACAGAAGTCACTAGTGAAACCAGTCACTTGTAGTCTGCTGCATCTCAGTTATGAAATTTGTGAGCACAGAGTTGTTCATAATATTCCTTTATAACTCTCTTAACATCCCTGGAATCAGTAGTGATGATTCCTCTTTCATTTCTGATATTAGTAATTTATGTCTTCTCTAGCCTCGCTAGACGTTTATCAATTTTATTAATATTGTCAGAGGATCCACTTTTGGTTTTATTGATTTTCTTTACTGATTTCTGCCCTTTGCTTCTTTGATGGCCTCCTAAGTACTATTTCCTTTTCCACTCCTGCTGCTCTCCAACCCATCTACCTTCCCACAGCCAAAATCATCTTTCTACGAGTCAAACTGATTCTGTTTTTCACCTGCTTAAAATACTTCTAGTGCATCTTTTGCCTTCGAGATGAGCCAAAACTTCTTACTGTTGTCTCTAAAGCCTTGCATGCTTTGGTCTGCTCATTCCTCCAGACTTATGCCTTACCCTCAGACCTCCTGGAGATTTGACAGCACAGAAAAGATAGATACTAAGTTTTCACACAAATATTTATTTCAAATATAGATAATTAAGAGATATTTAAACAGGCTGATAGAATGTACAGGAAACCCTTCAATGGATTCAGATTTTAAAAGGCCATGAAGGAAAAATTAGGTAATGGGCTGGTAACCAAAAATTAATATAAAAGGAATTTCTGAAAATAGTGTTTAGAAACCTAGAGATCATAATGAAAGTTTTTTTCATTACAGAAAAGGCACATCCAAATATACTTTTTCATTGTAAAGGTATATTAAGGACAACACAGAAAATGTAAGCTCAGAAGAAAAAGTTCCCACAATCTCACTGTCCTAATGTAGTTACTACTACATTCTGCATAGTTCTTATGCCATATTCAGATATGGTCACAGTGATAGGCTTGAAGGCTACACCCCCTTGGTTCTCAACCCTGGCTGGTTAAAATCACCTGGCGGAACTTTTAAACATTAATGAGTCCGATTCCTGAAACTAAATCGGAATCTCTGGGTGGTGAGGTCCTGGGTTGAGAAACACTGTGTATACATGATTTATGTACAAGCAGGAGCCTCACCTCCAGGGTGAGTTTATTCTTGGCATCCATCACCTGGAAAGTGAAGAGTTCCTCAGACAGGAAATGGAATCTTTTAGAGTAGTGGTTCTCAACTTGGCTGGATATTGGAGTCATCTGGGATTAAAAAAAATCCCAATACTGCACCCCAACCCAATGACTTCAGAATCTCTAGGGGGAGGGACGCAGGCATCAGTAATTTTTTTAAGCTCCCCAAGTAATTCCAATATGCAGTTAAGGTTAGGACCCACTGTGCCAAGAGCTCCAGGTGAGCTACAGAGTGGGACTTTGGCTCTTTGGGTCTTGATCACATAGGTATCAAGATGTCTAGGAGGCTGTCTTTGAACAGCGAGTTGTGAAACAGGCTGGAAGCTATGAAGCAAAGAACTCAGTCAGACCCTGCAATGCTGCGCTCTCCTGCCATGAACTAAGTCCGGCCCTGGCTTAAGCTGTCTACAAAAGGGACAGAACTGTGTATTTTACAAACCTGACTGCTTCTTTGGGTTCCTTTTACCCTCAGGGTTTCCCTGTTGTCCTCTTTTAATCTTTAGTGAAATATTTTTAGCTTTGTTCAGAGGAACCAAGAGAAAATGTTTTGTTGTTGTTGTTGTTTTGGTGGTGGTTTCTCTCTTCCTTAAAGCATTAAAGAGAACCTGTGCTCTCTGGAGTCAACGTGCTGGTGGCAGCAGCTCTTGAAGTGAGAGACCCACCAGGAGATGGTGAAACTCAGGATTAAGGGCAGGGGAGTCCTCATCACTGTGTAAAGATTTGATTTCCCTCAAATCTTCCAATATTGATACTTGGGGGATCTGGGATTTGTTATTAAAGATGGCACTATTCTTTCTCATATTCTCTTTCTCTGTCCTTAACTGATGTTGTGAACATTTATTGAATATTTACTATACACCAGAAACATTGGACTAAGCATCGGGAATACATCCATGAGTGGGACATTCACAGTTCCTGCCCTTACAAAGTTTTTGTAGTTGCTCAAACTTAGGATCAAACTGACAGTGTGAATTTGGAAAAAATAGAAACCTATGCTGAATAGTGCGACAAGTAGGATGTTTGGAGCCAGGCAGAGAATGGTTGGGATGCTGGCTTCACCACATACGGTTCTGTGAACACAATAAATTGCTTTTATGGTTCTCATTTGTTACATGCATTTAAATACTTTTACTTCATAGAGTGGTCCACCAATTCACACACTCAACCAACAAATATTTACCGAGCAATCACTAAGTGCTGGCAATGTTTTAGGTGCTAGGAAATAGCAGTGAACAAATTAGAACCCCTCCCCACTCCCCCACTGCTGCCCTCCCTCAAGTGAGACAGACAGTCAACAAGTGGAGTCCAACAGCGATAAACACTCTGGAGAAAAATGACATGGTAAGGGGAACAGGGGATGCTAATGGGGGATGGAGTTATAATTTTAAATGGCATGGGCAGGGAACATCTTAGAAGGGGACATTTGAGCTAACGTCTGAAGAGGTGAGGAAGGGAGCAATCTCTGCAGGTGTTTGGGAAAGAGCGTCCCAAAGGAATGAGCAAATGCTAAGAGTCTGAGGCAGGAATGGACCTGGAGTACCTGAGGCACAACGAGGAGCCAGTGTGGAATAATAAACAAGGAGAGTAGTGAGAAAACGTGGTCCAGATCATGAGCATGGTTGAACGTGGTAAAAACTCTGGTTCTTATTCTAAGACAAATGGGGAGCCATTGGACAGTTCAGATCTCAGGAGTAGCCAGAGCCATCTTGCATTTTAACAGGATGGCTTTGGCTTCAGTGTGGAAGCAGACCACAGGGCAGCAACCATGAAAGCAAGGAGAGCAGATAGGAGTGCAACGAGGAGGTAGGAGATGATGGCTGTCGGCACACAGTGATAGTGCAAGCGGTGAGAAGTGGTGGTAAAGCCAGTGGAGTTTGCTGATGATCAGTTTGGTGTCAAAGATATGATGCTTAACAGCCGGAAGGATGAAGTGGCCATTTACTGGACTATGGAAGATTCTGGGAGGCAGGGGTGAGAATCAGGTGTTTGTTTCTGGACGTGTTAAATGTGCGATGCCTAATACACATCCAAGTAAAGGAGGCAAGTGGATACATGAGTCTGGAGTGTGGGGAAAGGGGATACAAATTTGGGAGTCATCAGCACATAGATGATATAAAAGCCACGAGACTGAATGAGACCGTGTAAGCAGTTGTTGTGCAGAACAGGTAACACAGAAAGTACGTAGCACGGCATTGTGTGTAGAGTAGGTGTTCAATACACACGTTCCCCCTGCAGCCATAGGGAACCGGCAGGTGGTTCTGGAAATAGTAATCTATGCCTTGGGGCATATTTCAGACTGCTCCGTGTTTACAGGCCTTTCACAATTGGCTGGGTTTTCACAAGCCTTTGGGGGTTAGAAGTTGTTGGTTTTGGCTCCTGTATCTTTGGGTCTTCATGCAGAACTCCTTATAAAATCAGACTGAGCATTAAGGTCCCCACACTCTTGCCCACACGGCTACTATAAAACACCCACTGTGGCAGGACACAGGTGCTTTCCCAGAGCACGGAGCACCCACCCACATCCAGCTGAAACAGATGACACCTCCATTTAATTAAATCAGGTTCCAGAAGGCTGACATCAGCCCAGGAAAAACACACCTGGACACCAGGGCCTGGCGCCATCAAGGCTCCAGATGGCTCTTCTCTGGGCTGGACCATGGGCACATTCCTGGCTCCTGGTGTCATGTTCCTCATAACTGAGACTGAGATTTCCTCAGGGTTCTGTCTGAAGTGCTCTGCCTCTGGATACTGGCAGGGTTAACTCCCTCTCTTTTGTTGTGAGTCTTTGCTCAAATGTCACCTTGCAATGAGCCTGTCCCAACTATCCCCTTTAAACTTGCAGTCTCTTCTCCAGCATTTCTTTTTCCTGCTCTGTTTTCTTCCATAACACTCATCAGCTTCCAAGATAATGAAAACATTAATTACTTATCACACTTTCTGTTTACAGACCACCTTGCTCACTGGTATATCCTCAGAGCATAGGATACTGCCTGACACAAAAGCTACATAGTAGCTGCTCAAGAAAGAATGAATGAGGAAGTGCTTACCTCAATGTCTGGGCAGCAGCCTGGAGCCCTGAGCCTTTCCCTAGGGCCCTGCACTTTGGACAGCAGACTCCTTTCAGAGAACACAGAGCCTCCCCAGGGAGCAGACTTGAAGCCTCTGGAGGTATCATCCAATCAGACTGCATGCAGCTGAGTGCCCTGAGCAGCCTAAGTGCCCACCCGCAAGGGAACACAAGGTTAACTCCCGGGCAATTCTGAGGCCAGCAAAACTCAGCTCACCAGCCTCACATCCTGGTTATTCACCCCCTCAATGATATCCTCGTGGGTTTTCTCATGCCCAAGTCACTGCTCTCTGTGGCTTCCTCTTCTTGGTCCAATCTCCTGCTTCTCCCCCACCACCCTTCCCCTACCAGACTCTTAACTTTCCACTGTCTTCCATGAACTTTTGTTTCTTTACAGCCTCACTTTTTCAGTGAATGTTCCTTCCATCTTCTGCTTTCATAGAAACCTGAGTCTGCCCTGAAAACACCATTTCCTTTATATCCCATGCATCTGAGGATCCCTCATACCCTCTCTGTGCTCCATTTATGCTTCCAAGACACAAGTATGTCATCTTTATTTAAAAAAAAAAAACTGTCTATCGCTCATGCTATCCAGAAATACTACTTCTTACCCCCACTTGCTGTTCTCATTTACTCCCTGCCCCTTCACCAAGATTCAGCTCACAAGACATCCTTTCCAATCAGGCTTCTAAAGCTGTTCACTTGGGTTTAGAATTTCAGTTTTATCCCAATTACAAAGCACACAGTCAGCACTCATAAAATATTTGCTAAAAGAATGAGTGAGGAAATGAAATCTGTGGCATGAAGCAGGAGGCAAGCTGAGGTTCAGATCTCATTTAGGGGCTCTATCCTTTCCGGTTTACCAAACACTGATAAGGATAGGTTGAATTTCATCCTTGGGTGATTACTATTATCCCAACTTCAGAATGGGAAACTGAGGCTCAGCAGTTAGATAACTCATTCAAGATTATAGCTAGTAAGATGTGTAACTGGGCTTTAAAAATCCTTGTCTGACTCGACAGCCCATGTTTTGAACCTCCAAAAAACACTGCCCTCTTGAACAACAGAGTTTGCAGTTAAAAGAAGGTTTTGTACAGCTCAGTGCATATTAAGTGTTCCGAATAATTTTCATAGCACCAACAAATGATTTTGTCATGTAGATACAAGAATTGAGGGAACCCTCAAAGGAAATGGGAAACTAATTACTCTTCAAAGATGTAATTAAAAGAATACAGTGAAGACAAAAAAACCCCAAAACATCTATTTCCAGATGTTTGGAGTATCACTGGATATAGAGATATTTTAGGAGGATTTCTATATTTTAATAATAATAATTAGTAGAATATTTCTATATACTGTTGCCCCTTGAACAACAAGGTGGTTAGGGGCGCTGACCCTCCACACAGTCAAAGATCTGCATATAACTTACAGTCAGCCCTCCATATATGCAATCACACATGCACGAATGCAATCAATGGCAGACCGTATAGTGCTACAGTGTTTACTGTTGAAAAGATCTATGTAGACGTGAACTCACTGCAGTTCAAAACCGTGTAGCTCAAGGGTCAACTGTAATTGGATTTCAAGATTTGAGAACACTTAGGGTGGGGAGGCACTTCTCATGCAGATACATTGGTACTGCATTCTCAATGAAGGGCAAGCCAAGTATGATCTGTGGGCCAAATCTGACCTGCTATATGTTTTTTGTATGGTCTGTGGAGTTAGGAATGTCTTTTACATTTTTAATGGTTGGTTAAAAAAATTAGAAGAATAATATTTAATAACATAAAAGTTACATGAAATTGAAATTACAGTGTCTGTAAATAAAGTTTTATTGGCTACAGCTACAGCCATACTCACTTGTCCATGTGCTGCCTGTGCGTGCTTTCATGTTACAGCAGCAGAGGTGAGTAGTTGTGACACAGACAATGTAGCCCCCAAACCTTGAAATACTGACTGGCTCCTCACAAAAAAAGCTGGCCAACTTCTGTTTTAGTCATTTCTTTTGACTTAGCTTCAAGTTCACTAATTCTGTCTTCAGCTGTATCTAATCTGCTGCTAAATCCTTCTATTGAGTTTTTAATTTTGGTCACTGTATTTTTCAATTCTAGAATTTTTGTTTTTCCAATCTACTATTTTGCTTTTTATACTTCCCTTACTATATATATATAGTTCAATTCTTATCTTTATTTCCTCAAATACAGTGTATCTAATTGCTTTATAAACTGTGTCTGATAATTCCAATTTCAGAAGTCTTTGTAGGTCCCCCTTTGTTGTTGTTCATGGTTCTCCCTAATGGAGCCTTGTTTCCTGTGTGCTTAGTTATTTTTCACCTTGAGCTATTCATTTCCTTGAAAAGCTATTTGTAAAGAACTCACATCTTCCTCCAGAGAGGGTCTGCATTTGCTTCTGCCAGGAGCTCGAAGGCACTACCAGCCTGGAATGTCCTGGACTGAGTTCATGGCTTGAGGGCTCACCTGAGTGATGAGATCCCTCACTGTGAATATCAAGAGTTTCTTTTTTATAGACTTAGTGCCCTGATCCACTCGGAGCTCTGGCAATCTTTCCTGCAGTCCTGGTTTAGGGGTGCAGGTTTAGTCCTAGTTTATCCTTATGCTGAGTCTTTTGGGGTTCCAGCTTAATGTAGAAAGCATCAAAAGATGGAAAATATGGAAGTCAGTAGACCTGGAGGCTAGAATGAGAAGGTCTAACACTTAATCAGAGTTTCAGAAAAGGAGTAGAGAGAGAAAGTGGGATAGAGGCAGTATTTAAGGACATAATGGCTTAAAATTTTCCAGAACATAAGAATTCTTATACTACAGAAGCTAAACAAATCAATCAAAATAAATAAAAAGCAATTCTTACATTTGCAATATTTATTCATACTTTATAGAACTCTTTCTTTTATTCTTCATAAAAACCTAAGGAAGTGAGTATTATTATCTATATTTTTCATAAGGGAAAATTGTGATCCAGAGAGCTAAAATCAATTATCTAGGGCCGTATAATTCTTTGCAGCAAGGGTTGCTCAGAATTGTATCAAATCCAGTTTGATCCTAGTTCAGGATCTCTCCTATACATCAGAAATAGAACACAACACAGCAGAGAAAGACTTCATAAGGGGAAATCTGAGCATTGCTAAGGAATTCCTTCTAAAACCCAGAATCCTTAACTTGGAAACTTCTCCCTGAAAGCAGGTTAAAAACCTTTCCCACATATCTGTGCTTTGTTCTGAAGACAGCACTGGATTGGAAAAACCTTTGCAGTAAGAGGCAGGAATGTTCTAGTTTGTACCTTAAATTGGGAGTTAAATCTAATGAGGCCAAACCAATTCTCTGGGCTGAAGACCAAGCTGATTCCAACGGTTTATGGAACTGGCCTGGTACACCACCTACTGTGTACCACCCAGCTGTCAGGAGAGCAGGGCAGGAATGCCCTCCTAATCCCCATCCCCCCTTACACCACTGAAGACAGGTTAAATACTGTAGTTAACATGTCCTGGGTAACATGTCTTTTGTTCATCAGCGTGATTCGACTTGGTAAATTACTACATCTCTTCCATTCTGGTTGTATTTCACTTCTTATAGCTTATTCCTGATTTGTTTTTTGCCCAGAGCACTAAACCAAGAATTTCTAAGGGTGAAGGCTGTGAATTACTAGCATAATCCAGCCCCATTCCCCAGGTGTTAACACGTCGCTGGCATCTCTCTACTAGCTTGGTATAAAGAACAGACCACTCTTCCCTCGTGGCTGCCTCCACGATGTATAAAAACTGAGAGAACTACAGCGCCGGAACTCACAGGAAGAGGCACCAGAGCCAAGAAGCCAGATGCCAGGGTAAGGGGGCTAGATGCCAGACAACTCAGCAGGAAAGCCAAACAACCCCGGGTCTGAGGTCTTGTAGGTAGGTGCAGCCGTCACCATCAGAAGCAATTGTGGTCAAGGCCTCGTGCAAAAGAGGAAAGAAAGGGGACATAATTCCGACCTTTCACGTCTGTCTGGTACGGGCCAAGGGCAGAGGCATATGAAGATGACTAACCACAGAAAGGAGCCACAGGCAGTTCTGCAACCATTTACTGCACATCAACCATGTGAGAGGTGCTGTGCAGGGCACGAGCACAGAGGGGACTGAGCACCATCTCAAGGCAGCCCAGTCTAACGAGGGAAGAGCACAGGTATCCAGCTGTCATCCGGGCTCCGTGTGTTCATGTTTACTGAGCACCTAACACATACATGCCAGCCCTGCCTAGGTGCTAGGGAGACTGAGAGGGCTAGAACAGGGAAGGATACTGAAAGGATTAGATACTTACTTGAAAGCCCCTGTGAATTCATCATTTCAATTCAATCCTTACCACAACCCTGTGAGGGAGGCATATTCACATCCTCATGTTACAGGTGAAACTGAGGCTCAGAGTGGTTAAGTGGCCTGCCCCAAGTCAGAAAGAAAGTAGATGGCAATCTGGGATTTGAACCCAGCTTGGCCCAGCTCCGAGACTGTGCTGTTCCTTAAATTAATAACTATTACATGGTTAATTATAAAATAATGAGATAATGGGTGCCAGAGGCAGAAAATTCACAGGAAGCAAAGGAAGAGATCATTTTGTATAGGGAGGTGGCCTTTGAGTTTTCCCAGTGGACAAGCAAGGAAAGGGGATTGCAGACATAGATAACAAACGCATGCAAAGGCAGAGAGAGGGAAAGGGAGGGTTTACCCATGGCAGAGTGACTGGAGTTAAGGTGGGGAGGAAAGCTGATCATGGGAGGTTTTGCATGCCAGGCTGCAGAGCATCTTTGAAAGGCCACTGCCTCCTGCTGCAACTCAATCACCCTCCACTCTGTAGCAGAGGACTTTCCTTCTCATCCCTCAAACTCCTGGCAGTGGCTCCTTCTGTAATGAGCTGTCTGTGTCTGCCAGGCCTTATGTTTGCACCCACAACCCCGTCCTCTCTGGGCCCCAGTAGACTCCAGGATTCTGCCGACAGACTGAGGACAGAGGCCCTGGGAATCCCCCAACAACCCCAGGGGTGGTGAGAGCTGATCCTCCAGGATTGGCCCCCAGCTCTCACAGAGCTCTCTACCACACAGTCAAGGCTCTCTCTCATTCTACTCACAGTTTAGAGTCCAGCTTCAGGAGGAAGCCCAAACGATCATACTCTGAAAAAGAAAAGCAAAGCAGGAAATGTCAGTGATGTCAAGCACAGCTGACACTAGGAGATTGCATTCCCCAGGAACATGGGTGACAGGAGCAGATTGCAGTCCCCAGGCCCTGACCAGGGGTGGCAGACAACTGCTTCAAAGGGCAGATCCAAACACCTAAGCTGCAAATAAATTTAAGTCACCACACTCTTGCTAAACACCTGCCTTGTGAAGGACCAGGTTCCGTGCTGGTACCTCCTAGGCCTTGTAGGCCAAACAGGCCTATGCTGGTCTGTAACTGCCTTCCTGTTCAAATGTTGTGCTTGAAGCTGAAATTTAGTAAACCACAACACGGGACCCCTGGAGAAGAGGGTCAGAAGCAGTCTCTGCTTTCTCTAAGCTCTGAGTTCTCAGATTTGTGCTGAATCAGCCATGTTAACTTTGGGGTGAAGATATGGCAGCCAAGGGGTCCTCAAACCCATGGCAGTGATCCTCTTCATGACAATTACAAAGAAGTGATAGATTTGATTTAATAAAGGGTAGGAAATTTAAAATGAAATCTAAAAAAAAACCTGGTAAGATGTTTGAAACAAATGATAAATCATTATTTTATTTAATTTCTCTGTATCTTGCCTCATTCTAAAATGAAGTTGAAGGAGTTTTTAAAAACTGTATGCAGTACAAGATTTTAAAAAAGAAGAAATCTGGGACCAAGGAGGAAATAAGCATAGGAAAAATAATAAAAAGCAGCCAGGAAAAGAAAGCCAAAAGTAGGTGTCCTAAGCTTTTATGTGTTTGCTGGAAAAGGATTACAGATCTAGCCCCAAGACTTCTCACAGCTGAAACTAAGTGCAAAGCACTGATACAATGGTTTAGAGTATCCATGAAATAAACTAGGAGAATCCTAGCTCTTTCTGGTACTAACACTTCAGAGAAGTTTCCTCTGTGTCCTCAAACAAATTTTTATAAAGAAATGATAGACAAATATATGTATGTATATGTATGACTGGGACATTGCGCTATACACCAGAAACTGACACATTATAACTGACAGTACTTCAATTAAAAAAAGAAATGATAGGAAGTGTTATAAGATTGTTTCATATAGCTCTGTTCAATGACTGCAGTGTGTGTGTGTGTGTGTGTGTGTGTGTAGAGTGCTGTGTCAAAATAAGGTGGTCTAGGAATGCAGCTCTCAGCTGACCTGGCTTAATTTGAGGATAAAACAGAATACCAAGACCAAACAACTTTGGAAAAGGCCATACAGCACGGCTTTCAAGGAATTCAGTCTTTAATAAGCAATGAATGGCTAAAGAGGGAAGTTACACACACGGACAAGTATCTCACAAGAGCCACTCTGCAAGGCCAATTAAGCCTTGCAGACTGCGCTTTCTTAAGCAGCTGAGCTTCAGGGAGAGAATAATTCCTCCTACTAAAACGGAAGATAAACCAACTAGGACACACAACTCAACAGAAGGCTTGCCTTCCAAGAGAATACTCTCAGGCAAGTGAAAACCTTTCCTCAAAATAATTCTGGTTTTGCTCTAATTCAGATGAATGGATGAGACACTTTGCTTAATACATCAGGAACTTCTAAAAAATGAATAAGATTTCAATTTTAAAAATAAACTGAAAACAAAAATTTGCCAAAAGACTTAGTTTCAAATTTTAATGCTCTTTCAATCCTATTCTATCACTGCATGAAAAAGAAAACCTCGTTAACTTGCCAACACCTGCTGCTTTTTCCCCACGTGGCCGTAACACTGGGGAAACCCTCCTGCCGCTCCTCAGACCCGAGCTAAGACTTCCTTGGACATACAATGAATCCACACTTTGGCTGATTCCCTCCAGAGAGGCCAGAGAATGCTTTTCCTTTGCTGCAAACTCAAATGTCAGGGGCCAAGCAAGAAGATAACATAAACCAGGGAAGTGGGAGAATGTAATGCCCTCTCACAGCAGCTCACACCACTTACTTTAGCTGCACTGAAAACAGATCCTGTTGAAAGGTCTTTTTCATCACTTATTTTTGTATAGTAACCATAATTATATCCGTGGGTCATTTTCCAATGGCATCTTAAGTTCTGTTTGACACGCACACACACTAATTGCACATTAAATATGTAAGAACACTTTGCATTTCTAAATCAATTATGTCCTGTCCTTCCATGGCTCTCTTGGACTATCTGTTGTTTGTTCTCTTTTGTTAAGAGACACAAGTACCAGAGACATTTCATTTTATTCTTCATTTAAGAAAAGGTAACTGCATGCGCCCAGTGGTAAATGGCAACTGACACTGGCTTCAGGTCTCAGAGCCACCAAAAGGGAACAGAGTCCATCTGGAGACGCCATGCGCTGTCGGAAAGAGCAGCCTCCTCCACCTCCAGCCAACTACACCAAGGAGCAGTGCAGGCCTGGCGTTGCCACATTTTCTAATTTTTTAAAGCCAAGAATCTGGAACTTTTAAGGTAAAATTTCTCAATTTGTAAATATTGGCAAAAGATTCAAGAAAAAAATTAGCGATTATGAGGCTCAACCACAGTATGCCCAGGAGCAGGACGCAGCCAGCAGGCCGCCGGTCTGTAAATGCTGCCCTGGACGAGCAGCTCAGGAGGGCTAGAAGCAGCTCTCTTTTGTGGCTGCACACAGGAGATGCTTCATAAATATCTGTTGAATATTATTATCAGGATTATTTGGTCACAGTGGTCATAAATCCAAGTCAAATTCTAACAGGATGCTAAAAAAGTTTTAGCCCAGCCTCCAGGATGGTAAATTTTCAGACACTGAAGTGAGATGCTAGACTAGGTTTTAAGTTTTCTAAGGTAATATCTGAAAATGTGTTACATAATTCTAAAGGCTCTCCTACATCAAATATAAAAGTAACTGATGGTGAGAGATTAAAAGAGAGAGGACTTGAAGCATTTCTATGGAGACAGCAGTGTATGAACTTCACCTCCCTTAGTACTTGTCTCTTACTTAATTAAGCCTGGTGAGGGAAGCTCAACACATGACCCCTAAAGAATGAGAAACACAGCGGACTGCCAGGTGCCTGAGTTCTACCTGAGAAGTACAAAGGACACAAGATGGGCTGGCTGGGGAGGATAGAGCTGCATCGGAACTGACCTCTAGAATTTGTTGCAGAGAAGGAGGCATGAATAAGCTAGTGTTTGGTTGTTTCAGGTCCTTTCCAAAAGATCTGCCCAGAGGGCTGTTGGGTCCTCAGCAAACAGAAGTGAGAGCGGACATTGGGAGTCCCAGGAGCTACAGGAGTGAGCGAGAGGGTTTTTGTGAGTGCATTACCCACATCAGGGGACCTGCAGAGGAGAGGTCCCTAGAGAGAGCAGTCTCCAAAACATCTACGGGAGCACCCCACAAGAGTCAGCTTAACACACTTGTCAGCGTAGTGCCAACACTATCTTCTGTCTTCTCTGCTCATTCTCTCCCTCCCTTCCCCACCAATTCCAGAGGTCAGAAACTGCAGCCAGCGACTGAGGGACCAGTGGGAGAAGGACAAGCAGGGCACATCCCCTTCCCTGGGTCAGCATTGCTGGTACTAAGCCCTGATGGCGGGAGCAGCTCTGAATGAACTGAAAGCTGCGACTATTATATAAGGCAGGGACGCTCTAATTTTGGAACTGGTGACTCAATGTGACCACGGGATTCTTATTACCTCATAGGTACCAAAAAATTCTCTGGACCTCCCACACTGAAAACATCTTAAGGGGACAGAGAGAGACCAATGAAAGTGGTGTGATTATCCCCTGATGTTTCCTGCATGTCCAACATACTGGTTGTACCAGCTTAGGCAAGTAGGGCAGTTTGGTTTGTTTCACATAACCAAAGCGTGGGAAGGGCCAGGGTGCAGAGGACTTCGGGGAAGATCGAAAGGGACTCGAACGCCAGCAGGCTTCAGGCTTCCCTCGGTTAGCTCTGCTGTCCCTGACTAGCTCTACTCCTAAGTCAGGAAACAGCTGGCATCAACTTGCAGGCTGCATCTTCAGCTCAGCCACTGAGAAGGGGATGGACCTGGTCTCTACTCCCGAT